ATCTAATGAGCCTTTAAAATTAATTGTAGAAGAGCCTAATGATATTTTATCACCTAAAGAACATAGTGGGTTTGCTAGGTTTTCACTTTTTCTAAACCTGTGCCATTTTTAATTTACTCATGTTATTATAAAATCACAATGACACCTTAATCTGAAAAATATCTCTAGTCCAAAATCCAAAAGAAAAAGTCATTAAAGCAGCCCAAACTGAAATCTCCCCAGTTGGCTTTATCTCTAAAGTCTAATGTATAAAAGGTAAATTACCATTATACAAAAAACAAAGTTTTCAAATACAATATGCCTACCAAGTTTTTATTATAAAAATAAAAGAATCAAGAATTTAATACAGCCTTTAGAAATAAAAACAATATAAAAACTGAATACTTGGGTAAAATGGGTTACATTTACAGTACATGCAGTCAATAAGAGTGAATGTTATATTTGTGACAGGACATCCCAGGCTTCCCTTGAATGGGACACAGACTCCACCAAGTAAATCGTATGCTGCCTGTTACAAGATAAGGATGCACGGGGGAGTAAGACCTGCCAGAGCCTGCTGCTCCTGTTCCTGGGTATCCAGTCTAGTACCTAAAAACCTCCACTGCTCATCTCTTACATGACAGGAGATGTGTTCTCTCACCCTATGGGGGATCTTAAAGGCCAAACCCATGTACCAAACATCCTGAGCAATGAAGGGGCACATAGCAATTATTCTGTACTCAGTGTCTCCTGGGATGACATCTATGGTACTGCGAACTCTTGCTCGAACCTATCCACTGATGGGTTTTGGACCTGTGTGCTTGTTCAACTTCTTATGACTTTCACCCTGGCCTTCAAGTCTTCTTCCTCTTAGCAAAGCTAATCCCATGTCTAAGAAAATATTACATGGGCCCTTTAATGTCCACATTGACTTAATAATGGAAATCAAATAACTTCAAATTTAAAACAGAATGTATTCTGATGGTCAATAATAAACAAAAATGTGAATTAATCTAAAAAATTCCTACATCTTATCATATTACCAATATATACCTTGACACTATTTATTTTTTAACATGTCAATTGAAATTTGCCCCATTGTAGTTTGAGTTCTCATCCACAACTCTTAAACCAACTAACATTCTTTGACTCTAAGGAGAGTTTGAGCATCAAAGGGGAGAATGTGGCAGGGGTCCCCCTCCCCCAACAGAACGAAGAAAAAAGAAATGCAGGATGGTCAGTGAGTGAGTACATGCACACAGGCTTACCCATCATGACCTTGTAGCACAGAGCACCCAATCAGAATATGTGTATTACCATACATGGAAAACAAACTCAACTGTGTATGGGGTAGAAAAGGTTGAGTCTCCTTTTGGGGGGCCCTTCGATGTCTTGCTCAAATCTGGCTTCATTCCCCCCGCCCCCCGCCATCAACCACCATCCCAGCACAACATATGTAGACCCATTTTAATTTCATTGATCCTTCAGGTCCTCTTGTCCCTTGACGGGTCAGCCATTTGTCATGAGCTCCAGTCACCACCACCATCCTCCTCATCACCACCACCGTCATCACTGCAAAGTCACTTCCTGGGGGACACAAAGGTAAGCTGACACTGTTATTGCTACTTGAGAGAACAGCCTGGAGCTCACAGGGCATCGTCCTGTGTGGAGCAGCTATAGTAGAGTTGCTGCATCTTCTCCATGCTCGGAACTCACTCCGACTTCTCTCATTTTCAGTTCTTCAGCTTTTTCTTACCTTCTCATTGCTGGATCCTGCGCTAATTCCCCTCAATGGATACTCTTTGTTTATGGCAGCCAGAATCCACTTCTGTTGCTTACAACGAAAAGATCTCACCTCACACAAGCACTGCAGGGGAGCTGCACTGAGCGCAAAGTTATAGGAATTTTAGTCATCAAGGTGCAGGGGAAACTTCAGTACTCAGTGCCTGATGCACTCAGCGCCCAGGGATAACTAAGAAAGAATGTGAATGATGCAAGAGCTGAGGGAATTGATCAAGAAGCCAAGCATATTGTTTAGGTGAGAGTCAGGAAGGTGGCTGTGATTCCTTAGACTTCTTCAGGAAGAATGGAGGAATCCATGCAGGCCACAGGGGAACATGGACCAGTGGAGGGTAAGAGGGACAGTGAGAAACCTTCATCAAGGCTGTTTACAAATAAGCCCTGCAGGATTCTCAGGAGTGACAGGAGATGGGATAAATTTGTACATCCTGTTCTCTGCTCCTGCTCAGAGCCTCCATTCAGATGCCCCACATGGAAACATGGAGAACTGATGCCCCCTCCCCTGGGGCAGGCCCATGTGGAATGTCCTCCTTCTCAGGAAATGAAGATTCTGAGGATGTTCCTTGAAGGTTTGCCAGGTGGTCCAGGTGGATTTAATAACTCGAGTAAATGATGACATGAAGAATGTGTCGTTTTATCCACTAATATCCTTCTGTGTCACTCCTCACCATTCTTCAACCTGCTCCAGGATCAGACATTAGTAAATCACTGTGTGTGCTCCTTACCACTAAAGGTACCTTGAGCACCCTGGTACAGTAGACACCTATATTTACCATGAAATTGTGGGGGGTTGTCCTAAGGTTAATGGAAGTCATGAGAGAGCTGCAAGCACATATTAAATCGAATCTATATTCTCAAGGGCCAAGGGGGCCCCATTTGGAAAGTGTCAGGGGCAGTGCCACAAGGAAGAACATTTTGGGATCTCTTGTAGGAGTCAAGGATGTACCCAAAGGCAGCTTGGAGGCAAACTTTTGCTGTCCATCTGTCTCTCTTTGTCTCTCTGTGCTGATCCTTGCACACACCTGTACACGGGCCCTGACCCTCATCAATCCTTTCCTTGGCTGACAGGTGAGGTATGCACCTGTGCTCAGCCCAGCACAACCTCTGTCTTACTACAGCATATAGGAATTCACTTTAATTCCATTGCTTCCTCAGGTCAACTCATCCCTTGAAGTGTCAGTCACTCATAATTAGCTGCACTCTGCTGTGACCACCACCATCCTCAATGTCATCATCACCACCATCATCATTATCATTGGGAAGTTGCACGGAGGAGAAAAATGAGTTGGTATTTTTGTTACTGGAGAGAAAATAAAGGCTGAAGCTCATGGAGACATCATCTTGAGGGAAGGGGCTCAGGTGGAGCCCCTTGATCTAACCCCCAGTTTTCTTGGAATTTCAGTTCTTCAGTTTTTCTGAACTTTTCCTTGCTTATACTTACGTATCCCTCTCTATTCCCACCCATGTGTTTTGAATACCATTCCCCATACTCTCTAGTCCCCTCTGGTCCTTTATTTCAGACTCCAGTTGCATCTTCTAATCACTAGCTGTCTGCATTGACCTTTCTGTGCTCAGCCACAGAAATACAAACTCAATGCTCAGTTCTAGAGACTTAATCTCACCAGCTTTCTCTGTCTTAGTATATTGGTTAATTTTCTGTTATTGTGAATTAAAATGAATAGAGAGAGTGAAACAGGAAATGGGACATGGTGATGACCCCTCAAACCCTGTCCCCAGCGATGTGCTTCCTCCAGCAAGGCCACACTTCGTGAACCTCCACAAACAGCTCCAACAACTTACCAAGTCTGTAAATACTTGCACCTATGAGGGATACCTCATTCAAACCACCACACCTAGTTTCATTTCTGTTGCTGTAATAAAACAGTCTGAGGAAAGCAACTGGTTACATTGCATGTCAATAGCAGAGAGAAATGAATTAATGTATACATGCTTATCGGTGATCAGGCTGCTTTCTTTTTTTAAAACATTTTATTTTATTTTTTAACAGAGCATAGGGTAGGGGTTTATTTACAGAAGAGTGGGAACCCCACATTTATGGCTGTATTGTGAAGTTCACACTCAAATATAGATCCTGTGACCTCCTGACAGCCGCACAAAATGGTGAGAGACGTTCCTCTTGGTGTTCTTGGCTTATGTATCCTTTGTCCCTCCCCTTACATGCAGCTAAGGTCAGCTGATTTGGTGGGAGGGGTAACTGACTCCCCCCTCAGCTCCTTGATGAGCGTGGGAAGGAGGTATGACTATAGCTTGCTGGCATAGTGATCAGAAGACATTTCCAGTTAAAGTTAACACTCCACCTCTTCCTCTGGCTCTTACATTCTTTCCACCAACCTCTTCCACAAAAGTCCCTGAGCCTTGGAGGCGGTGGTAGGTGTGGGATCATCTTCCTCTCATTGTGGCAAGGCACTGAACTTTTTCTCTGCATCATCTGTTTTGCATGGGATGTTGGCCAGTTTCAGTGGGATTCCATCTACACCATGAGGAGGCCAGATCCAGGCGTTCTCAGGTGTTCTGAGTTCTCAGCCTCTAAGCCAGATGGAGGCCAGAACAGCCACTCTCTGGCTGTCTGCTAAGGTCTGAGCCTTCCGGACTGCTTTCTTGTCTTAAAGAGTTCAGGATCCCCGCCTAGGGAATGGTGCCACTCACAATGGAGAAGTCTTACTTCAATTAATGTAACTATGAAACATCCTTCTAGGCAATGCTCACAGGCCAAGCTGATTAGACAATCCCTCACTGAGAGTCTGTTCCCGCAAGATTCTAGATTGTGTCTAGTTGACAGTTAAAACTATCACATTCTCACTTATAACAAAATTTCTCTACTACTTCTAATCTGTCTACATCATCTCTACTGACTTCTACATTCCTTGGAGAAGGGGAGTCAACTCGTGAGTCTGTCTTCAGGGTCAGGATCTGCTCTTTCAACCTCTCTTCCAGCTCCCAGGCCAGGCTCCGCAGTGCTTCAGCTGACTCTGATTTTGCCCCCTTCTGTAAATGTCTTAGGTCTTTTACAAGGCAATATACATCAAATGCAAGGAAGATGCCCGAAATGGCTATACTTCTGATTCTGGCTTCTTTAGTCATTGCCAGAGCAGTGCCTTCAAAGGCATTACACAACTGACTAGGGTGTCGGACAGAGATTCTTCCATTGGTGCTGAAGATTTTGGCATCTGCTACTAAGTGAGGTTTGGCTCTGGCAATCCTGATGGCTTGGATATGCTTCCCAAGAGCTGACAATTTTCTCATGACATTTAGACTTCCTTTAGAAAGTTTGACTATAATCTTTCCCATCGCAACAACTTCCTTTGTTATGTTCATGGTGGCTGAAACCAGGCTCCTGGCTTCGGCTTCATCTGACCACCTGTTTCTTTCCTCCACAACCGCAGTGGCAGCACCAGCCACAGTAGCCACTACTTGTAGCCCTATCCCAGTTGTTGACAGCACCAGACTGCTCCCTGCTGTCACAGGGGCCAAAAACAGACCAAGGATGTTCAGGACTCCAGAGGCAGAAGCAGCAGAGTTGGTCACCACTTTGGAAATGGTACAGGCCCTGTGCACTTTGTCAATATGGTCAGCAAGGGCATGAAGCTTCCTGATGTTCGCTTCAAACCCCCTTTTCAACCGAGTTAATGCAACCAATAACATCTTATCCTGTAGATTCATTTGAAGCCTGTCTTTGTCCTCCATAGCAGTGAGTTCTATAAGCTCCATCAGAATGGTCTGCAGTGCATCTTCATCATCCCTGTAACAGCAGAGGTCATGTGCATAAGAAAGACAGTTTGTTTAGCTGTAAGATAGCCTTCATAAGTTCTACCTTGTTCAAATAGACTTTTACTACAAAACCAATGGAAAATAATTTTACAGAGGCATAGGACTTTGCATTCAATAATGAAGATCTGATAATCACAGATGCCCTATGGTCCCAGGTCCATAGGGATCAATGTACAAAGTCATATCAAGACCCTCTTCAGTGACAGGCACTTAATAAATTTGCCTTCCCTCAATTTCAATGTCATCACTACCAAAATATTTTCCTAGTGGACTCTGTTGATCCCACATCCACGGGGATACGGATATGGACCAAAATGGGTACCCCATGTAGGTGACCTGGACAATTCAGCCTCCTCCACCAATGCATTCCAGTGTTCATCTTTAGTCAATAGGAGCTGCAGGTCCTCTTTGCTTGCTGTGTCCTGGAGATAATCAGTGAGTTCCTGGATGAAGTGTCTCCTTAATACTTGGGGAGAAAAAAGAACAAGGTCATAGAACAGAATGGAAGAGCTTAAATGGCAAATAGTCTAAAGTGGTTAATTGCCAAGTTCCTCAGCATCTGCCCATAGGCACTTACTAAAGTCAGTAGTATTAGGGACTGATCTCTGTCCCCTAAATTCATATGTTAAAAAACCTTAAGCCAGGTAACTTGTTTTAGGGCATTTAAGGAAGTAGTGAAGATTAAATGATGTAATAAATATAGGGTCCTAATCCATGGGGCTAGTGTCTTTATTACAATAAGAACAGACAGCAAGTATCTATTGTCTCTCCATCTATTATGTATTTATCTGCATGTATCTATCTACTATCTATCTATTATCTATCTCTTATGCCTATCTCAGTGTATCTGTATCTCTTCTCTCTCTCTTCCTCCATATACCCTGTCTCTCTTTCTCCACTTGCAAAGGAGAGTTCATGTACAGGCATAATAAGCATGCTCTCTCTGCAAACCAGGAAGAGAGCCCTCAAAAGAAGCACCTGCCACTCCTTTATCATGGAGTTTGGCTTTCAGAGCTTAGAGGAACTGAGGCCTTTGCTTCAAGCCCTTAAGTTGTGGTATTGTAGGATGGTAACCAGGAAGACACACAGGCCAAAGATGTGCCATGTGCTTTGCAGTGAAATGAAATGTTCTCAGTGCAGAACAACCAAAAACTAAATCTTTTATTCCAATGAGCTGGAATATTCCAAGGATGCTCTCCATCTACCATGAGCCACCTGCATGTCAAACACTGTGTGGAACAGGAGCCCTTGAATGGGACTTTCAACTCCTTAAAGCCTTCTGACATTAGAATGAACAACAGCATTTTAAAAGAAAATATAGGGGCTAGATAGATGGCTCAGCAGCTAAGAGCACTGGCTGTTCTCACAGAGGACCTAGGTTTGATTCCCAGCACCCACATGGCAGATAACAACTGTCCTTAACTCCAGTTCCAAGGGATCCAATGACTCCTTCTGACCTCCACGGACATTGCACAACATTGGTGCACTTATATACATGCAGGCAATACACTCATACACATAAAATAAAAATAATAAAGAAAATATAATTCACAGTATCAGAGCTAATTGACTATAGAAAAGGTAAGACTAGATTTGGTAATTTATTGCGTGACATAAAGAACCCATTTATAGAACCGCTAAACGTGCAAACTGATTTGTACAGACAAGGAAGAGATTTCATGTGTGGTGGAGTTTGGAGTCTCTTCAGGCTCTCAAATAACAAAAACAGGTAAAGAGCCATGCTGTCTCTGGAAGTTGTTAGTAAGTTACATGATCTGCTGTCCCCCTCCCCATTCCGAGGTTGTCTTGTCCCCTCCTGAAGGGCCAGGGGAGAGGAGTGAACCTGAGGCATGGCCCCCAAGACAGATCCAAGAAGAGAAGCTCCATGGATCTAGGGGCAGTAAATGCCCCTTAGTCCCTCCTCGGGCCTTGCTCTCCATCTTCAACTCCTCAGCATCACTCCATGTGGAGGCCAAGGTTATAGAGCAGAAGCAGGAGACAGACAGGGAAGCTGACTATGACTACCTTTGGAGGCCATGAGGGCTGCTGGGCCCTGAGCACCAGCCTCAGGATCTCTGACAGAATTTCCTCACTGGAGAAAGCTGGTCTGGAGTCCAGGCTGCAGGGAGGAAAAATCAAATGTGAGATGGAGTAGGAACAGCTCCAGCAAAGGCTGGGTGTTTCATGGTTTCCTCTTATGTGGGAGAGGTCCAAAGGTACTTAACTCCAAGGAATTCTTTTGGATCTTGGCCCTACCCTTCTGATGGACAACTGGAACCCAGCCTGGGAATCTGCTTTCCCAAGCTGTGCACAAGCTCTCCATGTGGGGCAGACAGTGGTACTCAGCAAAGCCTCACCTCTCAGAGGCTGCCAGGCCTCCATCTTCCTTGGAAAGGGAGACAAGGGTTCAGGACTGCGTGTCCTTCTGAGAATCTACAGTTATCTTTCAGGGTGAAGTTCAAGCCCATTCACCCTGAACACTGAACCTCCTACCTGCTGCAGCCTCTCCATCCTAACCATCTCCTCTCCCACCTCCACAACCAATTTGCAGGGCTTCGGGCCTATGGGGGGGGCTCCTCCCTCACATGAAATGTTCCCTACCCCCATGTAGTTCTAGGACCAACCAGAACACCCTCATCTTATCCAGCCTGCCCCTGGTCTGGGCTCTGGAGATGTTCACTGGACACAGAGCCGCCAGTTTCTGAGGACACAGACCCATTGAATAAAAAGTGTAAAAGTGTGATTTCTTTATAATCCTGAAGTTTCTAGGATATTTTTTTTTCAGCTTTTACAGACACAGAGTATTAAGCCACCCCCAAACACAGGCATGCTCCTAGTCTGACCTTTGACTTTCTGATTGTACAGCTCATGGTGCTTGTCTTATTTGAGTTCTCTAAAGGAAAAGAATTGATAAAATGAATATATGTATATATATTCATTTCTGTACGTATATGCATATATTTGGGTCTATTAGACTGATTTACAGGATAGACTCCAAGTAGTCCAACAATGGCTGTGCCACACTGGAGAGGATGAGAATCTGATCATCCCTAAAGCTCAACACTCCCAGTCTGGTCCTGTGGGCCTGGAAGATTCCTGGAGATCTGTGGTCTTCAGCCTACATTGTAATCTGAAGGAAATGGTTTTAATATTAGTGAAGAAATGCCACAGAAACAAGATGAACTCATCAGTAAGACAGGAGGCAAGCAGGCAGAAAGAAAAGCATCCCTTCTGCCTTGGCCTTTTATCTGGGCTGCCATCAGAAGGATCCACCCACATTTAGGGTGGGTCTTCCAATCTAGACTAATCTGATCAAGAAAGTTTCTCACATTTCAGTTAATTCCAGATCCAATCAAGTTGACAACCAAAAAGCTAACCCCTTGTCAACTCAACACCCAGGCGCCACCTCCTTATGTTATGTTTGATTTCTAAATAAAGACAATGGCAAGGTCCTAATTCCCCTACTGATATAAGTATCCATGTACAATTGTAAATGTATTATATATTTTAGAATAGGTTGTGCAATCTATGAGGGATATCTTTTGGTATCTCAAAGCCTAAATATGATAATATAGATTTACAGCATTTAACCACTTAATATTTAACTGATCTTTCATTATACTATTTTTTAAAAGGAAACAAAACACAAATATCTGCTTAATACATGTGTATACATGCACAAGCATCCTCTAAAAATAGGACAGAAACATTCATGTTCATGTCAATTACAAGCCCTGTTTCTGTAACTGGTCATGTGGCCTAAGTTGGTATTTGTAACTACCTTCCTCTACTACCCATTCTGTATTTCCTCCACCCTCAGCAAGCACCTCTGCAGGTCTTGGCTCTTTCCCTGGAGGGGTGACCCACACCTTCATCCCTGAAAGGTCTGGGCCATTTGTCATCCTACCTGGATTGGGTTGTTGCAACATCCCACTAACTTTAATCACAGGACGTGGTAACACCAGAAAATTCTCTAAAGAATCTCCTGCATTCTAGACATAATCTTCCTTGCCTCCATTGTGGAAAAACAGTCCGATTTTTTCCTGGTAGTCTGGATCAATCGCCCCTCTTAACAATGTTATTCCTTCCTTAGCCTGTTGACTTAAGGGCATCAGAAGCTTAAAGTGGCCACCAGGAAGTCTTAGCTTCCAGTTCAGTGGAATGTTTTGTGTCTCCTGAAAGAAATAAGCCCCCCTCTGGAACCAAAACTTCTAAGCCAGCAGAGCACAAAGTCACAGGTACATGAAGCAAAAGTTTTCCTAGTGAATAACTAGGGTGATAGTAAGTGGAGCCATTCCCACTTCCACCCCTTGATTCCTGGACCCATGAGTCCTGGCCATAGGAAAATACTACCGTATATTGGACACTAATTCAAAGCATATACTGCCTGCTGGAGGACCTGCCCCAGCCCTCTGGGTTATTGTCACCTGATTGGTGCTGTGATGGTGTCTTTAAAAGGCCGTTCCATCATTCTGTCAAGCCAGTTACTTCAGGATGGTAGGGGAAGATGGTAAGACCCAAGAATTCCATGACCATGGGCCCACTGTTGTCTGTAGCTATGAAGTGAGTTCCCTGATCAGAAGTGATGCTGTGAGGAATACAACAGTGGACGAGGCCTTCTGTAAGTGCCTGGATAGTATTTTGGGCAGAAGCATTATAAGCAGTAAAGACAAATCCATAATCAGAATAAGTATCTATTCCTGTAAGGAATATGCTGTCCCCTCCACAACGGAAATGGTCCAATATGGTCAACCCATATCAGGTTGCCAGCTGATCACTGCCATACTGGGGGCTCAGTGCTGCTCTCTGCTGTTGGCAGATCTAGAACTCAGCAATAGCTGTAGCCAGGTCAGCCTTGGTGGGGGCTCTTGAGCCCATACATAACCTCCATCTCTGCCATCGTGGCCACTTTGTTCATGGGCCCATTGACCAATGACAGGGATAGCTGGAGAAAGAGGCTGACTGTCCACAGAATGGGCGGGTCATTCTATTTCCTAGATTATTGAACCCATCCTCTGCTGAAATTACCCTCTGATGAATATTTCATGAGACACAATCACTTCATGTCTGTTGCCCATTTGAAGAGATCTGGCCACATACTTCTTATCCAAATGTCTTTCCCACCAATTTTGCAGTCATGCTCCTTCCAAGTCCCTAACCATTCAGCAAAACTGTTGCCTACGGACCACGAATCCGTATATGATCACAAATCCTGCCATTTCTCCTTCAAAGCAAAATCCACAATCATGTGCACTGCCTGAAGTTCTGCTCCCCATGAGTCGGAATTTAGCCCAAGCTCAATTTATCTTATTGCCTGACCTCCATTTGCCCCTAGTTTAACTGGAAGACCACAGTGCTTTTAGGGCTTCCCAGAATCAGTGTCAACTCAGAACCAGTATCCAATAGGCTCTGGAAAGTCTATTTCCTTTTCTCCAATTACAGTTACCCTAGTAAAAGGCCACAGCACCCTCTGGGGAAGGATGGAAGAAAGGTTAACAGCATAATTCTTCAGTATTGTAATAAGGTACTTCCCTTCATACAAGGGATTCTGGGTCTGTAAACAGACTCAAGTCTAGAAATTGGTTGACTGGCTATGATTCCCTATTGCTATGATAGAATGTAGCCTTCTAGAACTTGTCTGCTTACATAGACCAAACAAGAACTTAATAGGCTTTCTATGTATTTGGTCCCTGGAAACACCGTGATTGATCAGCCAGCGCCAGTTTCATTCACATCATGCCGTCAGTCGTATTGTTTTGCTTTTGTTGCCCATTATGGTGATTCGATGCCACCACCTGACCCCTATTCTGTAGTCCAGTTAAACTCACTACATTTTATTCATGCGATTGAGCAGTGGCATCTCAAACTCTAATTCTGGCTTAAGGAAAAGAAAAATAAACCTTCAAATGTGCTGGTGCCTCTCTCATCACTATGTCTTACAGCATCCGTGAAAGGCATGTCCTCTTGGGCCCTCTCACTGTAGAGGACTAGGTTTTACCCAGAGAACCCATTCCAGCATTCCAATTTGCCTGACTATTAAAATTCCTTCATTAACACTAAGCTGAGGGATTTCAGGCATCTCCAGCTCTTTCCCAGTAGGCCATCTTTTGATAAATACTACCACCAACCAATCAAATAAACTTTTGGCACCTTTTTTTTTTTTAACTGTGAAAGCTTCCATATTTAACCTGACATCTCCCCTCAGCAGGGCCATATCGATAAACTCAACCTGATCCAGTTTTATGTTCCTTCCACCATTATCACACACCATTCAAAACCATTCCCACACATTTTCCCCAGACTTCTGCTTGAATGAATTAGCAAGCTCATTAAGTTCTTTAGTAGTATAATACATGTCCTCATGGACCACAGTTTCTATCTCACCACTAGGGTTCTTAAATCTGGTTATAGATCTAGAAGCAACAATAGTGGGCACTGAGGGGCATCAACATTGTCTTGCCTGACATCTCCTCCAGTGAAAGTCACTGCCTGCCAGCTTAGCAGACCCTGAAGGATTAATTCCTTCAGGCAAGGGTGGGGAGGGTGGCTCAGCAGGGCATGGGGGTGCATACTCTGCTAAGTGTGGGGAGACTAATTCCTCAGGCTAAATAATCCGTTCAGAGTCTGATGGTTCAAAGTCCTCAGCCTCATTAAGGTTCTCCCATGTTTCCACCCTAAATTACACAATCCCACTCTTTCCCTAACAGTGCCCTCACCTTTACTGCTGATGCTCTTCAAGGCAGGGAATTAAAGTTCTGTTTCAAGTCACCCACACACATAATGAGAACTTCAGCTTGATTTTCTGCAACTTGAACTCTATGACTGATGGAGAGAAGGTTCTCTTCTAGGGTGCACTTAGGAAACTTTAGACTGTTCATGTGAATCTGGAGCCGGTTAATTTTATCACTGACCTCATTCTTTTTTTTCCCCCATTAGATTTTCCTTATTTTTCCACAAATATTCAGAAATTATACACACACACACACACACACACACACACACACAGTCGCTAAATTCCTTGCTCCTCACAAGAGTTGAGTCAGAAGATTCAACCATATTTATCTACATAATTTCTTTAAATAGTTCACACCATAAATTTCCAGTGCTGTCCATGCTACCATGGGAGTCTTTAGTAACTATAGGTTTCCTTGAGTTGGAAAGCCTGCCTGCTCCAGATATCTCCAGACACATTCATCCTTTCAAAGCTGTTTCTCTAGAACTACCCCACTTCTGTTACCACAGTCTGTTTTAGTCAGAGTTCTCTCTCTCTCTCTCTCTCTCTCTCTCTCTCTCTCTATATATATATATATATATATATATATATATTATACATGGACTTATTAGATTGGCTCACAGGATAGAGTCAGTAGTCCAACAATGGGTGTACTACACTGGAGAGGCTGAGAATCTGATAGTTGCTCAGTTTGCCAGGCTGGATGTCTCAGCAGTCCCAATCTGGGCCTGAAGGATTCGTGGAGATCTGCTGGTCTTCAGTCTATATTGGAATCCTGGAAGTTGATTCTAATATTGGTGAAGGAATGCCACAGCAACAAGATTGATAAACTCACCAGTGAGAGAGAAGGCAAGCAGGTGAAAAGCAAAAGCTCTTTTCTGCCATGTCCTTTTATATGGGCTGCCATCAGAAGGTTCCACCCACATTTAGGATGGGTCTTCTGGCTTCAAATAATCTGACCAAAATAGTTTCTCACATTTCACTTAATTCCAGATTCAGTCAAGTTGACAACCAATATTAGCCATCACAGTGCTGAATATATTACTACACAACATGCCCTCCTTGCCCCATAGTAATATCCTATCCACCCAACTACAAAGGACAGACACTACCTTCTTCATCCCTCACAGGCTTAGCAGGGGTCAGGGCGGGCCCAGGGGAGACAGGCCTGCCATCCACCTGCTCAGCCTCCTTTAGAGAATAGTCAGGAATACTCAGTTTCCCCCAGGACCTGGCACTGATGCCTGCTCAGAGGCATGGTATGTAGCACAACTCCTCCACTCCTTGCACCTCACAAGACATATTTGACTTATCTGGTCTTGGAAGCAATAACTATCCAGACCCAGCTTCATGGTGGTTAGAACACACAGTTGGCTCTGGGTCTCCTGCCCTCCTCTGAATCTTTCAATTCCTCCATTTCCCAAAGCAGTGAGGACCCACCACAGTCTCCTTCCTTCCCTTGAGAACATGTTGGCCAGGGCTCGGACAGTGTGGCATCTGAGCTGAGTCCCAGGCAGCTGGGTGATCCCAGCTGGGGGTTTCTAAATCTCTTTGTGCTTAGGACAGAGAGGGAGAGAGCGGCCACCAGACCCCAACCTGGCTGCCTGTCCAGTCTCCTGCAGCTGAAATATGACCTGGGCCAATCAATGCCTGACCTCGCTGTGCTCATCCCTAAAACAGGTGACAATCTTTCTCTTCAGGAGCCACTGAGAGGGTGAAGTGGTATGGGAGCTTAAGAGGGCTCCAACTTACCCAGGATTCTTCCTCTGGATGAGTGTCAAGGAGACCAACTATCCTTGTCTAGGTAGATCAGGTCACCAGCTGCACATCAGAACCTTAACGAGAAGCAGCTCCCTCCTTGATGCATCCAGCACGGGAAAAGGAAAATGAAAGTCAACTTCTGGGCGGCTCAAATCCAATAAATGCCCTCTCAGGGTACCACCCACAGCCCAGCCTCCTTGCTGATCCACTCTGAGGAGCAACCTTATCTCACATTCCAAGTCCTCAGCCAAATCTATCTCATTCAGAACTTCTCTGTGGTCTTTGGGATAAAAGAACTGGAACCACGGACTGCAGGACCCTGCACAGATCACTGTACACACTACCCAGCTCTGTCTACCGGTCTCTCCGCCCACACACCTCTTCAGCCTCATCTTCATCAGCAAAGAAACTCATTCTGTGGTCTGTTGATGCTGATGGTGGTGTTTTAGCGTTCAGTGAACCTCTCACATGAGCATGTGTTTTGCTAGGAGTACCTACTCTGTGTCTGGAATCATCATGTATTCTTTCCCCTCATAATCCCCCAGCATCCTCCATGACAGACTCCCCCGCTCCCTGCTTAGTTCCTATTGTACTCGGAGGAGACAGGTTCACTGCCTGGTCAAAGCCTCTTGTCTATAAACCCAAGTAGCTCAATGACTGTGGGATAGCTCTGCTTTGCTCCAGGCAGAAGGGACTGTAAGCAAGACTGGACCCAGAAGCAAACTGACCCTTGTATCAGGATTTGTTTTATCTCACACATATGTCCTTGGGCTTGAAGGCCATCCTCACCCATCCTCTGAGTAAAGGAAGCAGGTGACACGAGATCTTTACATCTTATAATACTTACTTTACCATTTTATTGGAGTTTTAAATTAACTTACTAACACTGGCATAGCAAGGTGTTTTCCAAACACCTTGTAATTTATTGCTGGTAATATGGGAGAATGTACTGTGATGCATTGGGTGAGGAAATGTTTTCTTGTTTAAAGTTATTTTTATCTTTTTTTTCTCTGTAAACTTCCTTGTTCCTGATTCTTCCCCTTTTATAAGCATGACTTTAGCTTGGCAGTCAGACAAAATCACAGTAAGTTGCAGAATCTTGAAAATGTCTGCATTTCAAATCTTGAAAATGAATTGTGGGCCAACCATGATAGGGCCCTCTGGTCAGAGCATAGATTAACTGGAACAGCATCAGGGTGTCAGACTGGAGTAGTGTGGTGAGGGATAGATTTACCTGAATAAGGGTTTTAACCTCCAGATGTGCAAGCATAACCCAGCCCACCTGGACACCCTAAAGATCTGCTGTAACAGCCCAGCGTGCTCAGTGACACCACAACAAGTCATCCAGGATAGCTATCACTTCAGAGTTGTGAATTCAACCAGTACCTTTGTCCAGACACAACTTCAGCCAATGGGAATGTAATCTTAATGCAATGGGAAACAACCCCAAAGTGGTTTGGGGAGGTACCAAGTGAACATTGGCATCACAGTGGGGAGGGCTTGAGGTTCAGCAGTCAACCACCTGGCCACCCTGATTACCACACCCCAGCCTACACCCTGGAGAAGACAAAATGGACACTGTACTGGGTGCCCCTGAACTGAGAGCCACCTCTCTGCAAGTCTCTGTTTCTCTGAAGACTGGGAAGTGGCAGAGGTCCTCCAACTGAGCATAGGACATTGGGCTTCTGCAGTGTCCACCCTGCCAGGGCTGCAAAGCATGGGGAAGGGAACAGCATCCCATACTGACAGCCCTGGGAGACGATCTGGGAATGGAAGGGGGCAGGCACTGCAGCCTGGCAGCCAGCTTCACCCCCAGAATACTCCTATTTCTCTTTGTTCATATGGAACATTGGGCCCCAAATAATGTGAGAACTTCAAGAAAATTTAGAACCAAGAATGAAGAAAACAGACTCTAACCCCTGATCATTGTATTTTATGTTGAAGTATTGATTAATATGCCTTCAGTTTGATGCCTGTAAAATGTTCTGGAGCATCAGAAACATTTGCAGAATGAACACAGCAATTTGGGGATTCCAATTTAAAACAAGATTAAGAAATTGATTCAGAGGGCTGGAGAGATGCCTGAGCAATTAAGAGCACTAACCTCTCTTGCAGAGGACCTGGGTTCAATTCCCAGCACCCAAGTGGCAGCTAACAACTGTCCATAACTCCAGTTCCAGGGTATCCAATACTCTCTTCTGACCTCCGTGGGCACTGCATGACATGGGTGCACTTACACACATGTAGGCAATACATTCATACATATAAAATTTTTTTAAAATATTGAAAGTTTAAAAATAAAAGGAAAATTGGTTCAACATCTAGAGTTCATTTTAAAAACTCTGCTTGGTGTTGAGGAAGTTGCCAGTGAACTTTAGCCCGAGAGAGGACACAGCATCAAGCTCAGTAGATTCCCACACAAATAGGAGAGAGATGCAGTTGTTCAGGGAAGGGGTTGTGAGAATCACCCACCAGATAGCTGTGTCATGTGCCAAGGGCACCACTCACTGGAACTATCACACTCCTCAGTCTCCAAGAAGGGTTGGTAGGTATCACTCTCATGTCACAGCTTGGCCTGGAAACCCATGGTACCTGGCTGCTCTATTCAGGACAGATGAACCACACAAAGTTCAGAATTGTCATGGGATCCCAGAATTCTACCTCTGAGTCAACACACTATTCTAGTTTGCTTCCTGTTGCTGTGATAAAAACACCCACTGAAATCCACTCACAGAGTAAAGGCTTTATTTCATCTTGCACTTTGCATTCTATCATCAAGGGAAGTCAAGACAGGAACTCAAGGCAGAAACCTGGGGGCAGATGCTGCAACAGAGACCACAGAGGAATATTGCTTACTATAATGCTTCCTCTGGACTTCTCGGCCAACCTGCCCGAGGATGGCATTCCCCACAGAGGGCTGGGCCCGCCTACAACAATTAGGAATCAAGAAAATACCTCACAGATAGGACCTCAGGCCAATCTGATAGAGGAAATTTCTCATTTCAGGGTCACTCTTCATGGGTGTGTCAAGGTGACAAAGACAATTAGCCATCACACACACAAGAAATGAAAGCAGAGACGCCAACATTTGACTCACATACTCATAGCAATTTGATTCGTAACAACCAGAAGGTGGAAAAGCCCGGTGTTTATCAGTTCTTGAATGAACATGAAAAATGTAACAGATCTTGCCAGTCTGGAACTAGGCCCGGAGCCTGCTGCTCCCATGCTTCAGACTACCCTGGCCCACAATGCTATGCTCCAGGGCTCTGGACCAGCCTGGTAAACTAGTCAGAACCCTACCCACTTGTCACCACCTTCTGCCTCTCTGACTAGGCCCAGAATGTGATACTCATTCTCTGCCCAGGACCATCATGGTAAGCCAGTCAGAGCCCTGCCCACTTGGTTACGTTCTTTCACCTCAGCTCAGGGAACAGGCAGGAAAGTCCTACTCATTCTTCATTCTGGACCACACCAGAGAGCTAGTCAGAACCCTGCCCACTTCGTCATCATCTCCTTGTTCAGGGACAAGGCCTGGAAACTGCTGCTCCAACTCAGGACTACAGTGATCTGGCTAGAAATGGTCCACCCTACCACCATTTTCACACTCACAGATCTAGCTGTGATTGCTCACTCACCCACTGGGCCAGCCTGAAATCACCCCTGGACCTCCTATAAAAATAAAAATGGAGAACTTAAAGTACCAACCAACTAACTATTCATACCCGATAAGAAATCAACCAAATTACAACAACGAAAACAAAACCAAACTTGCACTCAACAAAGACAGGCTAGAATTTCATATCAGACGTACAACGAACAAAAGAAGTCCATATGCCCAGGTCACACCACAAAAACACAAACAGTATGAAAAACCAACATAATATGTTCCCACAAAAATCCCACCAGTCCTATAAGAGCATTCTGTAATAAGAACTACCCAGAGGAACCCTAAGACGCAGAACTTTTTTAAAAAATCATAAGCATGGTCAAAGAATTCAAGGGCTTTAAAGAACATACAAATACCTCAAGGAACCCAAAGAGGATTAGAATAAACTCCTGACAGGAGCAAAAGAAAATACAAATACACAGATGGATGAAACGTCAAAGATGATTCACGGTTTGAAAAGCGAATTCATGAGAGAGACAGATACAGTGAAGAAAACGCAAGCTGAGATGAAGTTGGACTTGAAAGCCTCAGGAAGCCGATAGAAAAGATGGGAAGAAAGTCTTACCAGCAGAATTAATCAAATGGAAAACAGAGTATGAAGACTTGAAAATAAAGTTGGAGAATTCGCCCACTCAAGCAAAGAATATGAAAAATTTTTTAAAAAGGAATAGAATGTGCAGGAGCTGTGGGATACCATAAAAAAAAATCAAATCTGTGAATTATCGGTATAGAGGAAGGAGAAAAACCTCAGGTAAATGGCATTGACAAGACCAACAGGATTAAAGATGAAAACATCACTAAATTAAGGAAAGATACAAGAAGCACACAGAACACCAAATGAACAGGACCAGAAAAGAAACTCCCCATGGTATAGCATGGTAAAGACACTACATATAGAGAACAAGGAGAGGATACTAAGAGCTGCTTTCTTATATAATTAAGGCCCAGGCGTGGCACCACCCGCAATGGGCTGGGCCATCCCACATCACTCAGTAAACAAGAAAATGCTTCAAAATTGTGTCCTTATGCCAGTCTGATAGAGAAAATTCCCCAATTGATGCTCCCTCTTCAAATTGACAAGCAAAGCCTCACCCACTATGACACTATGACAGCTCTTACCGTCTATATCCCCCATGATATCAAGGGGTCCAAGAGACATGTATGGTTATCAGAAATTAGAAAGGCAAAATGTCAGCCTCTCCTAATGGAAGGCCCTGAAGTGATCCTTAAGGCCTGACCCTCTCTCAACACCCCTATTTGTCTTCCTGGTTGTGAAAATCTTGAGCATTCATGTCAAGAGGTCTAGCTAAAAACCTATGCTGCCAGGCCTGCTGTTAAGGGCCAACCCCTGTAAAATCCCAAATTCCAGCTGTTCACTGATGCTTCTTAATTCACACAACCCCTGTAAAATCCCAAAT